GACCACTGAGCCACATCCCCAGCCCTATTTTGTATTTTTCTTTTAGAGACAGGGTCTCACTGAGTTGCTTAGCATACTACTATTGCTAAGGCTGGCTTTGAACTTGGGATCCTCCTGACTCAGCCTCCCCAGCCACTGGGATTACAGGTGGGCACCACCATGACCAGTCCCAGCCCTTGTTTTATTTTATTTATTTATTTATTTAGAGAGAGAATCTTTTTTGTAGATGGACACAACACAATGCCTTTATTTTTATGTGGTGCTGAGAATGGAACCTAAGTCCCGCGTGTTGCTAGGTGAGCACTCTACCGCTGAGCCACAATCCCAGCCCCCCTCGTTTTATTTTTTGAGAAAAGTTCTAAGTTGCTTAGGGCCGTGCTAAGTTGCTGAGGCAGCTTTGAACTCGGATCATCCTGCCTCAGCCTCCTGAGTTGCTGGGATTTCAGGTGTGCATCACCATGCCCAGTGCATTTAAATTTTTTAATGTGAAGCCAGGCATAGTGGTGCACACCTTAATCCCAGCATTTTAGGAGGCAGGAGGCCAGCTTCAGCAACTTAGGGAGACCCTGTCCCAAAATAAAATTAAAAGGGCTGGGGACATAGCTCAGTGGCAGAGTACCCTAGGTTCAATCCTCAGCACCAGAAAAAAAATTTTTTTTTTTTTAACCAACAAGCATGTTATTTCGGTCTTATTTCCAGTCGGTTGTCATAGACAACTTACCTATAACTGATTTCTTCCTTGGATTCTGAACTGTCTCCTAAGAGTAAATTCCTGGGAGTAGACTTCCTGGGTCCGAGGGTGTGCAGGGTAAGACTTTGGATACCTGCCACCTTCCTGAGAGGCTGGGACCATCCGTGCCCTGCCATCAGAGACAGCAGCCCTCTCCACCTTCACCCACACTGGCCATGTCTGCCTTGGAGAGAATCTTGGTGTCCGAGCACCGGTGAAATCGGAGCATTTTCATGCACCTGTACACATGTATATTCCCTTCGTGAATGACTGTTCATTTCTTTTGCCCATTTTTGTTCTGTTGCTTTTTTTTTTTTAACGTCTTGATCAGTGGACCCTGGGCTCTGACTCCAGCCCTGCAAAGACAACACAGTGAACATCTTACGCGAATAGGGGACGTGTAACAACTAGATTTTGATGTTATTGTTAACGGAAGCTCACACTTCGTTCTGATTTCCTTGGTTTTTGCCTAATGGCCTTCTGTCCCAGGGTCCTAGCCAAGAGACATCACAATTAGTTGTCCCACCTCCTTAGGCTTCTCTTGGCTGTGACAGTTTCTCAGACTTTCCTTATTTGGTGACCCCGCCTGTGTCATATCAGTTGAGTCTTTGGTAGAAAGCCCGGGCTGGGGTTGGTCTGTCGCCTGGGCTCCTGAGTTCCAGGGGAGGAAGACCACAGAGGCCAGTGCCGTCTGTATCGCTGTCAGAGGTGCCCACGGTCTGCGTGCGGCTAGCCGTCGACCTTGATCGCCTAGCCTGACGTCAGTAACTTGAGAGAATTCTTTGTTTCCTGGGTTTGCCTTTAGTCACTTGTGTCTGTGGCAGGAATTTGGCTTCTTTGGTCAGTTGAAAAGGTTTAGGGCAGGTTCCTCGGACAGCTCTGCTGGCCCATGATAAAGCACAGGGCCACTGCCTGGGATTTGGAGCCACGTGTCCCCCCGCATCCTGTTACCTGTGGTAGAGCTGGAGGGTGGATGGGCCTAAAGTGGGTGCTCAGTCCAGACAGGCCCCAGGAGAGCCGTCCACTGGAGACAGACACGGCTTCCTGGGGCCTCAGCACGTGCCTCTGGCTTCCCCGTAGGCAGGGGCATCAAGCGGGTGAAGCCGAGGCGCACCACGTCCTTCTTCAGCCGGCAGCTCTCCACGAGCCAGGGCAGCTACACCGTGGTGCAGCCCACCGACAGCCTGGAGCAGGGCTGAGGGCAGCCGTCCTCCCAGGCCAGGGCCAGGCCGCGTCGTCTCCAGAGCTGAGCGTATGGTGGAAGCCGCCTTGGCCATTCAGGGCCTGATGTGCCAGACTGTGGAGAGGTGGTTTCTGTGCCTGGGATCATACTGGACTGCAGCGCTGGCCAGCGGCCTCCTTGGGTCCCTATGACAACCTGCCCTCCCTTGCCTGGACTCTGGGCTCAGCTGCTGTCTCAGGACCGCCTGATGGGGCCCCAGCTGCCCCCTCATACCCCAGACACACCTTCATGCCCATCTCAAGGTGGACAGTGTTTTCCGCTCTGAAAGTACTGCTGGCAGCTTTGAGGGCCGAGGATCAGGGCTGGACCTGCAGGTTTTCCCCTGGACTTGGGTGAGCATGTCTGGCATTCCTTCTGCGGCATTCCACCCACACCAAGGGTGGGCTGGCACTCCGAGGAAGTGGGAGGGCCTCCTGGGACTGGACCATGCCAAAGAAGGCGAGGTCCCCCTGGCACCCCTGCCTGGCTGAATGGGACTGGCAGGGTGCCCTCTGCACTCAGGTGACCCTGTGGGCACACAGGATACTAAGTCTTTAATGTCACTGCTGGGAAGTGGCTGGCTTGTCCAGCAAGCCCCCCAGACCCACACTCCACACTGGGAACATCTCCTGAAAGCCCTCTGTCACTCTCCTAGGCCCAGGCTGTTCCCCCACCCCGGGGCCAGGCGTCTGCGGCAGGTGGGGTCCCCCTCCCCTGCTTTGGTGAAGCCTGTGAACCTTGACGGCACCGGGAGGCGCCCTCTGCTCCTCAGAGCTGAGAGTGCCTTTAGCAGTGCTGGGGTTCCCTGGGGGACAGTCCCTACAGGAGACCTGCTAGCTGGTCTCTTCCCCTCCAAGGACGTTGACAAGGGGACTTGGATACAGGTGCTGCCTGCTGTCCCGGTTTTGTCCTCCTGGCAACAGTGGCTTTGTGATGGGAGGAGCCAGGCTCTAGAGGGAGGGCTTTCCGGGCCCTTGGGCTTGTCTGTGGTCTGTGGCTCTCAGTGCCAGGAGAGCAGGCCTGGGTGGCACAGGGCTTGCTCTGCAGTCCCTTCCCGGGGGACAGCGAGGAAGTGCACACCTCTCGTGCTACAAAAATGAGATCCGCTCACCTCCCTTGGTAGCTTGTGAGGCCCCAGATGTTTCAAGGCGGTTCTGCCTCCCGCAGCAGGGACATTATTGTCATAGTGAATAAGTGGAAAGAGGAGGCCCGGGAGGCTTCTTCAGCCTGTTGGGGTGTCCCGGCTGTGGGACAGTATGAGCTGCTGTGTCCTGCTGCCCCTCCTGGAGTCATGTGACCTCTTGGAGCTGCCAGCTGTCCCTCAGCTCCAGCCCTCTGGTCACTTGGGACCCACTGACTGTCACTGCACTGTATTCTTATCTGATGGCCGAGGGGCGTGGCCGGTGTGCATCCAGGTGCAAACACTGCATGTTTCCCTCAGCCTTTCTCACTTCCTAAGCATCCATTGTGCCTTAACCTTCTCTGCTTGCCCTTTGGGACAAAGCAGTATTCTACTAAATGTCCTCCGAATGTCCTCATTCTTTTGTATCATGTGACTTATTAATAAACCCATTTCTAGCAAACTTTGGAGTGGTTTATGAAATACTGAGGGTGTGTTATTGCAGCCTGGGATTTGATTACTCGCTGCCTGTTTGGTTTTTACTAAGTGCGTGTCAAGCCCTCAGGGCCGCCCCACCAGCCCTGGTGGTCCACTGGCGCCCCCAGGGAAGGGTGACTTAGGTGGGCTCTGCAGAGTCCCATACCCTGCCTTGGGCTCCTTGTACCCTGGGCCTAGCCAGAGGCCATTTGTTCCCCTCAGATCCTGTTAGCAGCACCCAGTTTGGAGGGCAGGGACAGTGTCACACCCACCCTGGAGCACAGTGGGCCTTGCAGGGGTCTGCCCAGCAGTGACACAGGCCTTGACACAGGCTTCTCCAACAGGGAGGGGTCCTAGAGATGGGGGGCACGTGCTCCCACAGCAGTGTGGTTCTGAGACCAGGGCTGTCTCCTGGACATCCCTGACAGTGAGTGGTGCCTTGTGCACTGTGTGGCCTCTGCCTGATCCAGACACAGGATGCCATGACCACAGGTACTGCATGAGCTCCGAGTTGGGACTGTTTCTTGGATTTTCAGTTGGAAATAATAATAACAGTGCCCACCTCGAAGGATTGTCGGGCACTTTAGTGCTGGCATGGGTGGGCGGGCAGCAGGGGTCAACTCTTCCACATTTCAGTTCTGTGGGAGGTTGGGAGGGAGAAGAGGGCCACAGGAGCAGCCCAGGCCAGTGGTAACATGGTGTATGACCCCAGACCTGCTGTGTCCCACCCCCAGTGTCAGTTTCCTGTCACTTCTGTGAACAGTCACCACAGTCTTAATGGCTTACACCAGGACATCCAGGATCGCAGTTCTGCAGGTGAGAAATTCAGCATGGTCACGAGGGACTGGACTGACTCCCGAGGCTCCAGAAAACGGTCTTGGCCAGCTGCTGGGGCCACTGTATTTCTTGGGTGCTGGCCCCTTTCTCATTAGCTCTCAAGGCTAATGACAGCTGAGTCCTCACGTCACACATGTTAAACATCCACCCTCACATGTCTTCCTCCAGGTGTTCTGGTCCCTCTTCAGCCTGTAAGTACCCTGTGATGACATAGGATCAATTTAAATAATCCAAGATAATCCTCCTGTTGAAGTCAGCTGATACCTGCTGTAGTGGCACATACCTATAATCCTAGCTACTCTGGAGGCTGAGGCAGGAGGACCACAGGTTGGAGGCCAGCCTCAGTAACTTAGACTCTATCTCAAAAAGGACTGGAGATATAGTTCAATAGTAAAGCACCCTGGATTCCTGGGTTTGATCCCCAGTGCTGGGGTGAAAAAAAAAAAAGGTAAGTGTGAGGCCCCACAAGTCCTGGCTTGGCCTCTGCCTAGTAAATACACTAAATCCATTTGTTTCTAGAACAGACTTGCCTTCTCCTGCCTGGGGACCTTGGCTCAAGTAGGCTCCTCTCTCTCGAATGTCCAGGCGTCCTCTTCTTCCCTCCCTGCCTTGGCTTCCTAGCGCACCCCAGCCCACAGCTCCTTACCCTCCCCAAAACCTGAACCTGTCAGGCTGGACCCCTGTCCGCCCTCCATGCTTGCAGGGCCAAGACCCTGCTCATTGTCTCACAGCCTCACTGCTGTGTGGCCTTGGGTGAGTCACCTCACCTTCCTGGACTCCTTTTCTCATCTCTAAGATGGGAGCAGTCGTCCAGCTGCTGTGTGTGCAGGGCGACAGGTTCCCCTCCCCAAAATGCCACTCCACTCCCGGCTTCCCGAGTTTCCTAGGGCTGCCCTCATAAAGTCCCACTCACTGGGTGGCTCCACAGGACAGAAATTAAGTCACAGTTCCAGAGGTCAGAATCCCATAAGCAAGATGCCAGGTAGAGGTGACCTGTGTGGGTTGGTGCTAGAGCACTTGCCTAGCACGTGTGAGGCTCTGGGTCCCTTCCCCAGCACCCCCACCCCAAAAAGGTGTGGACAGGGACCTCTTCAGTTCCTGGTCCCCTTCCTGGGCTTGTGTAGTCTCTGCTCTTGAGGTCATAAGGCATTTCGGGGGTTTCGAGGGGGGATTGAACTCAGGAGCACTACCACCAAGCTACATCCTCAGCCCCTGTTAGTTTTTATTTTGAGATAGCCTCACTGAGTCGCAATCCTCCTGCCTCAGCCTCCTGTCCTGAGTTACAGGAGTGTGCCCCCAAGCCCAAGCCCTGCTGGCTGCGTTTCCCCTGTGTTCCCACTTGCATCTACACACACATGCAGCACGTGACAGAGGAGCTGGCCACACCCAACACAAGACAACCAGGAACGGTAATGGACAAGGAGAGGGTTGGGGATGAAAGAAGTCTTTCTGGAGGAGCCTCCAGGTTCAGCAGGGTGGAGGCAAAGGCACAAACCGAGAGGGCTTTAGGAAAGCCTGGGCTGTGACCCTGGAGCCTGACACTGACCGCCTGACTCAGGGGAGGAGCAGACCCCAGGACAGACTCACTGCTTGTCCTTCTCCTT